ACGTTGCATTGCAAATTTAATTGAAGTCAAAGACCTTTAGATAAGTTTTCATGCATATTTAATTTGTCTAGCTATTTTTCACCATTCTAATTTCTTAAATAATCATAAAATCATGAAAAATATTAAGAATTAATAAAAAGTACCAGACTTAAGATTTTGGTCCTAACTGTGGTAAAACACTTCCAAATAAATTTTCATGGATTATAGATGTGGATAACCATTTTAACTATATTTGATTCTCTAGATAGATATAAATTTATGAAAGATATCAATGAGTAAAGAAAATTTCCCAAAATTTGAAACCTACTGACATGCAACATATATAATCTGGAAAAAACATCAAAATGGATTTTGAAACAATTTAATATGACTTTTTAGATTTTTGTGTATTTATTCTATCAAAATAGAGATAATTGGAAAACAGTTTTCAAAATTCTCCAAACATTTTGTACTACTGTTATTAGACATATAAAAGCTGAGAAAAAATTAAAAGTTGGTTTCCAAACAATTTAGATATTTTTCTTGGTTTTATTCACTTAAATAATCATTAATTTGTGAATAAGTATTAAGAAGTTAAGTAAAATTACAAAACTTTTTGTAACATTCATACACAGTGTCCATAAACTAGGAAAAATATAAAAATGGATTTCTAAACAGTTTAACCTGATTTTTTTTTTGTGCATTTATTCTAAGAAAAATGGAGATAAATAGAAAACAGTTTCAAAAATCCCCTAAACTTTTTGTACAAGTGTTATTAAACATATAAAAGCAGGGGAAAAAATAAAAGTTGTTCTCCAATTAGTTTTACTATTTTTCTTTGTTTTATTCACTTAAATAATCATTAATTCGTGAATAATTATTAAACAGTTACAGAAAATTTCAAAAAATTTGGTAAACTTCATATATAGTGTACATAATCTGGGAAAAATACCAAAGGTAATTTTTATATGTTGGAGTCCAATTTTATAGATTTAAGTGTATTTAATCTTTGCAGAATAGAAGAAAAATGACTTATAGAAGAGAAAAATTGTACAACTTCTTATGCGGCATCCTAATATATTATAAATGAGTAAATTAAACTAATGGTCCCTATGGTTTGGGGTAATATACATGTTTAGTCCTTAACTTATTTTTTTTAAGTTAGAAGGTCCCTAATATTTGTTGTTGTTAAGCACTTGGTCCCTATTATGTGTTTTAGGTAAGACAGGGACCAAACGCGTAACAAAAACATACAACAGGGACCTTCCGAGTTAAAAAATAAGTTCGAGACCAAATACGCATATTACCCTAAACCATAGGGACCATTCGTGTAATTACTCTATTTTAAAGAGTTCTAGTAAATTTTTTGAATTTTGGATATGTAAAACTATTTTTCCCGTTTTTAGTCCATTATAGACACAAAAATTATGGAAAAATAGATATGTATTATGAAAAATCCTCAAAATATTTTTCTGAGTATTCTACATGGGATAGAAGTTTTGAAAATTATAAGTTGTCTTTTCACATTCTCTAACATTGTTTTATGATTTATTGGAACTACAAAATAAAATTTAAAAATCCTATCGAACTGTATCCAAAATTGATGAAACATAATGAGAAGCCTTTATTAACTTTATGGGTCATCCATAAATTTATCAAGGATTTATGAACCTTAGAAAGTATTTTATATGAATTATTGCTCATTTTCTTGCAATAAGTTGATAAAAATAAATTGTTTTCTGAAAATTTGCAGAACTTCTCATTTTGTTGGTGGGATTCTATGAAAAATTAGATTTGATCAGAAAAGAAGTTTTACATATTTTTTTGAGAATAAATCTTTTATGAAGATATTTGAAAGCTTTTAACAATAAACTTTGATCATCTAGCATCTAAGCATAAAGATCATCACATGCATGTTGGTTTGAAGACCATTCATGAGTTTGAAATGTTCAAAAGTCATTCATGAAAGAAAAATTAGGGTGCATGTGGTGATTTTCCACCAAAACTTGTAGAAAAATTATGGTGATTTTGACATAGGTTTTGGTCATGGGCTTCACCATTTACAACATGCATGTTGTTTTTTGGTGAAATCCTAACACTAGCATCATCAAAACCTAGAGTGTGTGTGTTTATGTATGTTTATTTGTTCATGATATTTCATTAGAATGGAGTAGAATATGGAGAACACGCAAGAAAACATGTAAAACTTTAAGGAATAATGAAGTAGAAATCAATATTACCTTCAAGAATAGCACAAGATGACGAAGATTTCGAGTTTGAAATTTGTTCTTGGACTTATTTTCTGAAAAACTTTTTGGGTTTGAGATAGAGAAAGAGAGAAATGGAGTAGAGGAGGTAGAGAGAAATGAGAGAGAATGAGGGAGGAGGTGGAGTGTGAGAGAGAAGAAAAATTAATTATGTATGTTGGAAAGAGTATGGCCAACCTTAGGAGAGAGAAGAAGGACATTCTCTCTTCTTTTATTCATTTAAATCATTTACCTCTTATTTTTATAAACCTTTTTCCAAATATTTATAAAATATACATTTTAAATAAAAATTTGATTATAACGCTTGAGTTTTGGGCTTATAAACTAAGGTTAGATATTAATGATCTAAATTTTATCTTCGATTGATTATGTTTTCTTGATTTTAATTATATTAATTTGATATTATGTGGTTCATAACAAATTTTATGGAGTTTTAGGTGTTCAAGTTTATAAATTTGAGTTTTCAGGGCTTTTTAGGGTTTTGAGGAGTTTGTAAGTTTTTGGATATGAGAATTAATTAAAATTTGAGACTTCAACTATTTAAGAGTTACATAAATCTTATTCAAGTTAGAAATAATGTTTGTAATTTATTTTTATCGGCTTATTGGCATTCTATTTAGTGGTTTCGAGATTCAAGTGAATTTGATGAATGAAGTATACTAGTCCTAGTTTCAACTTTGACTTAAGTTTCTATGAGACTTTGGCCTAATTTCTACGACTAGTTCAAGTGCATGATAAGTGTATACGATTCATTAAAATGGGTGTTTGACTCAAAGAGTGACCCGAATATAGATAGTCACTATAGTTAAAGTAACTATAGAAGTCACGTATCAATGTGATATCTAAGTACACTATCCATTGTTTCTAATTGTTTTCAAGTTTTTATTAGGTTATAATTTAGCATCTTGTTACAAAGTCTAGTATGTCTCGTGCCTATACATGGCACTAAGTTTATCAAATCTAGAACCAACTCGAATTTTGATGGTTGTCATAGTCTCCCCCGGTTGACAAAATTTCTTCCCGAAATTCAATTCGTGACCCATTCTATTAGAACTCAGCCGAATAAAATTGTATAATTAGAGAGATGGTGACTTGAAGAGATCTTTTATTATTTTGGGTTAATTCCTCAAGAGAGAGCCCAACTCTTTAGCTATAATCAACTTAATGTTTCCCTAATTCGATTTCTATAGTCTAGATTGTGGGATATTAGAATCATGGTAATCGTGACCCAACCATGGCGACCTAGTTGAAAAAGATCATATAGTTAGATATTATCTAACTTAAAAGAGAGCTATAAGTTTTATTGAAGCACCAACTACATTGAGCGTTAAGTCCACATTTATCCTTAAGTCACGTTCTAAATCAACACTAATTGTAAATTTGCCGCCTAATAAAGAAGAGATTGGAAACAATTTGTTCACTTCCGGGTTGGCTACTAAATCTAGATAGGATATATTCCGAAATAAAAAGTGGTAGTACGAATGAAAGAGAAGTGATCAAGGACAAGTTCGTAAAGATACATACTAAGGGTATGCAACGAAGTTTGTGTACATCTCAAATGTAAGAGCTATTTAAGTCCTGTCTACCAAAGAAATTACGAAATTGCCATAAAATTTTGAAGCTATATTTACTACTATCGTGACTCCCTCTAGAGTAAAATCATATTCGAATATATATATATATATATATATATATATATATATATATATATATATATATATATAGAGAGAGAGAGAGAGAGAGATTCATTCATTATTGCAAATGGAAGTGATGAAATTTTGTGATAAATTAAATCACATTGTCTAGATAGCATTTTGAGTGTTTAGATTTGTTAAGTAATCTCACTATCATCAAAATGTGTAATAATTCAAAGAGAATGAAGATACAAGAGTGACGATCAAACGAAGTAGTAAAATAATATAAAGGTTAATTAAGGTTAAAGGTTTAAGTCGTCATTAAGGGAAATCGTATATAAGTATTGCTATTACACTTTTATGAAAAATTGTCCAATTATTTAATTCTAAACAAATTCAAGATTACTTGGGGTCAGTATATTTATGAGAACAAGTTTGAGAGTTTAGGAACTCACTAAAAATTCCAAAGTAGAATTCTATTTTAAGAAAGGTGTAAAAAAGTTTATCATTGAAAATAATGTATTCTTAATTCGGTGATTCTACCAAAAAAACCATCATTTGAAGGATAGATAATCATAATATTTAAAAAAAATTATGTTTTAAGAAGAAGAAGTATAAGAAAATATATCTGTTAGGATATTAATCCTTGAAAGATCGATTAGATTCAAAACAGATTGAAAACAAGAATACAACAATGGATCAAAATATGTTGAATGATTATAAGTCGTAACCTTAGAAGAACTCGATGAAGAATTGCAACTGTAGAGGTGTGATTAAGGTTACAATAATAATGTCAAAGTTACCAAAACATGATGCATGCATGCACCTTAGTTACTATAACCCTATAAATAAATGAAAGATGGACAGGCCTAACCCGATACCAAAATAGATAAAATAAAATCCCTAACGACGCAACATTATATCTCCAAAAATATCCCCATTTGCGTTAATTAAGGCGAGAGTCCATCAATGCTATGTTCGCTTCTGCACTTCAAAAACTTTTGGAATTATGCTTAGCAGAACCTTGCGAACCTGAATGTACCATTGAACCATATCAGAAAAGTACTTTTTGTCTCCCTTGCTGTTTCCCATGAATTTTTGACCATTTCGAAAATATATTCTAGGCAAGAGGTGGTGTACAAATGTTTTTCAGGTAGAAAGAAATAGGCCTTATGAAAGTGTGCATCATTTCATTCCCGTGCCTGAAATACCACATACCATCCTTCTTTGTAAATCTTTCTAAGCTTCAGCTTCTCAAATCCTTCTGGTACCTTTTTATGGAGAACAAAGGGATTTCTTTGTAGTACAACATCTATTACCACATCCATTTTCCCACCTCTTGAATATACGAAACTATCATCAGCTCAAGGTAAGAGAGCTCGTACTTCTGTCTGTCTCTCAAAAATAAATTGTAAAGCATGATCCAGCCATAAGGATTAAGACAAGGCAGGTCTGCGAGAGTGAATTCATGCACTTGACTAACATAACCTCTCACAACCTTGAACTTCGCATTCGCAAAGCTTTCGGTTTCGATTGGACCTGTGACCTTCACTTCAGTAATCTTGCTAGCACTCCAAATTTCGTATTGTGGCTTCATATGCTTGAGATAGAACGAGAAGAGCAAATGGTCAGTACCGCTATCAATGGATGGGACATTCTATACTCTTACAAAAGAGCGAAACTTGAAATATTTTGGAGTTATTAGGAGATCCAGTTGTGAATCTTGAGTATTCTGAAGCTCAAAGGACACAACTGGTTCTAGCCAATATTGACTCGGTAATCCATGACTTCATTTTGAATTCACTGTAGAGTCCACTCTGGAACAAGTTCTTTCGGCTTTCAAGTGTGACATGAGCTTCTCTTTTTGCTTTCTATTTCACTTCATCCTCTAGTACTATCCTTTGATGCTCATCCATTTCAGCTTCACGTGCTTTTCTTCTTTTGTGCTCGTTTTCATCAGGCTCTTCGTCTTCACTGTGATCAATGGTAGGTTCTTTAGAAAAAAGTTTTTCTTTGCCTTTAGGCTCAGATTCACCTTTGACAATGAGCTTGGCTGTAGGCTTAAGGTCATCCTTCTTGGATTGTTCTCCCCCTTGTTTCGGAATGTTGCTTTATTCTAGATCACCTTCCAAACGATGAAGCATGGCGAAGACATGCCTTAGTTTTTCAGCTAGATGTTTCCTGATTGTAACCGTTGAGTCCCTAGTCTCAATGATATCCGAATGCATGCTAGGAACATCTGTGATATAGCTTTTCATAGCTGATTTCTCGGATAACAAATCATTGACTTGTTTGTCAGTATTCTCAAGTTTGATGATGATGACTTTCACCTTTTCAGTCCTGACTGCCAGAGCATTCATTATTTTGCTCTCCATGGTGAGATCTTATTTAATCTTAGATATTTGCGAGGAGATGGATGAATTGAGCTTGTCATGGTCAGATTTGAGACTAGTGCAAACCTCTTGAAGTTTCGCCTTCTCAGTTTTAAGGGAGGAGCCTAGGCTAGAAATGACTTCATTTGCCTTTGCTGTGTTGGACTCAAATGAGCTCTAGAACTTCTCCATGAATGCGGTAGCATTAGTAATTAGTTTATCTACTTTTTGGTCGTGTTGTGGCATATAGTGGCAGAATCATCCACCGCTTTGTTCATTTCTCAAGATTGGCAAAGTGATCTTTGGTTGGTTTCTCAAGGAGGGGCTTGACGGTTTTTTGAGAATAATCATTAGTTGATGATGTGATTTAAGCATGAAGCAACGAGTCAAATTTTCCTTGTATGGCCTTGAGTTTCCCTCTCATAACGGGAGCTTCATCATCACTTTCAATCCTGATGTTGAAAGTGTAACAACCCGAAGTTGTCTATCGCCGAAACCCATTCTGCCCGTAAAAATTTTCTGTTTATCAATTCGTTCCAATTTCGTTTTTGGGCTAAATTATTTAAACTTATATGTTTATTTAATACCAATGAGTGTCCAAACCCCTTAGGAACTCATGGAATTAGCCCAAAATGTTTATTTCAGAAATTTTAGAAACGTCCCCGCCGGGTTACGGAAACTTAATCGGGTGCGACCAAAAGCCCCGTTTAATGTCGGTATCGGGTAGAATTTCACCGTGTCCAAGTTTTGGGACCTATTTAAACGTGTTCAAGCTATCATTTGAAGGTTTTGCTTCTTCTCTCTACTCTCTCTATAAACTCTCTCCTCAACCAAGTTTAAGGGTCCAAAACCTCAAATTTAAGGCTTCTAATCACTAAGGTACCTTCCTTAACTCCTTGTATAACATATTTGACCTTCAAATTCGAGATTAAAGCATGAATTAGGACCTTGTTCATGTGTTTACAGCCCTGGAACATGCTTGGGCCGTAAACACATATAAAGGGGGGTTTTTAAGCCCTTAAACCCTTCCAAAACACCAATAAGGCTTAGATACGACTTGTAGAATTATGGATTTGGCCTTGGAACACCTTGAACATCAATTTAGAGGAGTAAACTTGAGTTTACTGCCCAAGAACATGCTTGGGCCATAAACTCATATTCTTGGAGAGTAAACTCCTCTAAATGTGTTAAGATGCCACTTAAACCTTGGGATAAATTCTTGAAGTGTCTACCATCAATTTAGAAGCCTTAAAACATAATAAAACACCCATCTAAGGAGTTCACGACCATTAGGGGGTTCATGGGCCGTAAACTCCTAAATCCATGCTAAAAGTCCCCTAAAAATCCATACAAGGCTTGGGAAAAATCATTGGAATCACATGTGATTGTTTAAGGACCAAAACTTTAAGGATTGGATGTGAGGAGGAGTTTATGGCCGTAAACTCCATGTTTACTGCTATAAACTCCAATAAATGGTCCCTAAGTGCGTTTAGAACCATTCCAAAGTCAAAAATCCAAGTCTAGCATTTATTCCCGATTGTTATGAAGCCATTTTGCACCCAAAATTACCATCCATGAGTTCACAGCCGTGAACTCATGTGGATGAGGTGTTTAGGGCAGTAAACTCCTTAAGGAGTTTACTCTTGAAGAGTAAACTCCATTCCCTAGTCATACAAGTCCTTAAATGCCACCTGGGTCCTTCCAAACACTTGTAATGGAGTGTTTCCGCAACTAGAAGTGTATGTCCCTAACAAATAAATTAATCAAGTTCTAATTAGATACAAATGTATATCATTTCATAATCCATAGGAATCTTGTGCGTTCGCGAACCCAGAACTGACATCTAGGATCCAAACTGACGCGTTTCTCAACCGGTGAGTTCATACCCCTACCCTTTTTCAAATGTTTTTCAATGTTTTTCAAATGTTTTCAGGGAGGAATACAAGCAAAAGTACAAGGAAATCTTGTAATTATACGTATTTTCAGTCCAAATGTTTTATTTCATGTATGTTTCTAATATCGAAAATTGTGATAACTAATGATTCGAATTGTAGGGTATACTGTTAGACTAAAGTTAGATTTCTTTTAAAAGTGTTTTAAACTATATTACATTTTGCAAAAGAAATCATACTAAACATAAACTAAGATTAGTACGAATACGAATACGAATATAACCAATAGGATAGTACGAATACGAATACGAATATAACCAATAGGATAGTATGAATACGAATACGAATACGAATACGAATACGAATACGAATACGAATACAAATATGAATACGAATACGGATATAACCAATATGATAGTACAAATACGAATACGAATACGAATACGAATACGAATATGAATACAAATACGAATATAACCAATAGGATAGTACGAATACGAATACGAATATGAATATGAATACAAATACGAATACAAATATAACCAATAGATAGTACGAATACGAATGCCAATACGAATACGAATACGAATAGATATAGGAATAAGAATGTGAAATAACGCCTTTGGATGACACCAAGACTTCGAATATACAATTAGTGTACCCCTTGAGTGTCACCAGAGTTTCGAATTAAATACGAAAGTACGCCTCTGGACCTCTACTGAGTTTCGAATACATCCACCTCAGAATGTCGACAGAGATTCGAAAATACATCTACTGTACTCTTTTGGAAATCACCAGAACTTCGAAAATACTGTAATGTACACTTCTGTGTGACTCCAAATATTCAAAAATACAACTAAGTTAGTAGTTGATAGACATTCGAATGTAGGATAACTAAGAGTTTAGAATAGTTAACTAATACTGCAAGTATGGTAATTATTAGTACTCCGAAATCAAACCTAAGAACCAACCTCAACACATAGGAAAAGATGGGATTTTCCTGAAGTAACATAACAACTAGTAACGAGATTAGAAACGAATAGATAACTCAACACATAGGAAAATATGGGATTTTCCTGGGATAGTATAACAACTCATAAACGAATAAAGTAACAAACGTATAACTAAACTATTAGGAAAATATGGGATTTTCCTGGAATGACATAACGAACCGTTTTCGAATTAGTAACAAAAGGTAACTAAACTGTTTTCATAAGAAAATAAGGGATTTTCTTGAACAACTTTTTCAGAAAGCAAAGGAAACTCGTTCTTTTCAAAACTAAACCGCTTATGAACTCACCAGCTTTATGCTGATTTTCAAACTGCTTGTATTCTCAGGTCAGCATTAGACAGGTACACCGCCACTTTTTGGAGAAGACGGAGCGTTGGAAGAAAGCTATTTATTTTGTGTTGTGTCGCGGGTCATGTCGTGGGTTGTGTCAACAATGTCCAGTCCTAACTTGGCCTCAAGAAAGCTTAGCACCAATAGTGTAATGCCTCAAATGTAAACACAAAACACCAAGAACAATTAAGAGGAGTATAGAGAGGTTATCCAGACGCTAAAATCGGTTCCTACTCTTTAAAAACACAAGTAGTGTCTGATATTGGACTTAGAGATACACACACACAGATATATATATATATATATATATATATATATATATATATATATATATATATGTGTGTGTGTGTGTGCGTTTGTATGTGTGTGTGTGTGTATGTAGAATGTCAAGGGTCATGTGTAACCCTAATCCATACACATTAGCCTATGATCTATCCATTTGATTTGGATAAACACTTCATGGATTATAAGCCCAATCAGAAACCAAACCATGGATTACTAGCCCAACTTATATGTATCAATTTAATTAGTCTCTTTTGATCACTAAATTAATCCTTCAATTAATTCATGATCAATAATAATCAAATAATATGATTCCTTAATTAATACATTATACCTCTAATATATTAATAAATCATAATTAACCTCTTACTCAAATATTATTCCTAACATATTGTTTTGATGAATGCAACCTAAATGGACCATGCTACTATCGGGTCAAGTACATACCAATTATACTTATGGGCTTCGACACCTTTTCCAACAGTCTCCCACTTGGATAAGTCTAAAAACTTTAATTGCCAATGTAACTAAAAATCTGATTAGCAATCATACCTCTCAAAAAGCCGCAAACATACTCTGATGCGTCGATTAGATAAGTGATCATATAATTCTCTGTTCTACAATATATCATGCAGACAAATACATGGAACATAGTCATACTTATTGTCCTGTAGTTTGTTTCCCAATTTCCATTAGATAAGTGATCATATAATCCTATGTTCTACTTCCAAAGTATGGTTGACTGTGGATAGTTCAAATAATCTTATTATTCTGGAAGTCAAAACATGCAAAATGAAACAATAGTAAATAATTGATACAAGATAGTAACACTACTTATAAATAAAAAAACACCTTTTATTTAATCATCAAATATCAATTACATTTTAACTATTACAAGTTTCTAAAATTCTATCTAATCACTAAAATTAATATCGTCCTTCAGCCCGACACTACTGGCGTACCACAAGAGATTAACCCTACTCATTCCCTTTGTACGGGGATCTGCTAGATTCTCTTCTACGAGACCCTCTTAACCATGAGGAGTCCCTCTTCTACTTGATGTCTTATGAAGTGATTTTTTTTGTTGATGTGTCTTGATCTGCTATGATCTCTTGGTTCCTTATATAAACAACTACACTATCACTATATAGAAAATATCCATGGGCTACTTTATAGCTGATACAACTCCAAGGTCTCCGATGAAGTTCTTCATCCATATCGCCTCCTTTGATGCTTCAATTGCTTCTATATACTCTGATTCGCACGTTGAATCAGCTACAGTCTCTTGTTTGGAACTTTTCCAAGTTATTGATCCTCCATTTAGGGTAAATATCCAACCCAACTGAGAGCGGAAATTATCTCTATCGGTCTTAAATCTGGTATCACTATACCCTACCACTCTTAAGTCATCACTCCCACCAAGAATAAGATCTAGTCCTTAGTCCTTTGTAGCTACTTAAGACTGTTCTTTACCACAATCTAGTGAG